TATGTTTTTCCATCTCTCTATAACTTTCTTAATTTTATTTTTAATTTCTTCTAAATTTTTCTGTTTACTTTCTTTTCCTACCCACACGCCGAGCATCTTCATAGTATCCACCCTATTTATTATAATATCACTATCCATATTTCCGACCAAATTTAATAATTTACTTTTATCTTCATTTATGCGCATTCCTGTTAATCTACTAAATTCATCAATTTTTTGACAGATTCTGTTTAAACTTATTTTATCAGTTACCAGGAAGTTCACATCATCCGCGTGCGCGATAAATTTAAGTTTCATTTCCATGCCAGGAATATAAACATGGTCAATCAAATCATCATTCAATATATATCTCAAAAGAATATCAATATAAATCGTAAATAACACCATCGAGCAGGGGCAGCCTTGCCGTACCCCTGCTCTACATTCTATATCTCTAGATATCTCATTATTAAGGTATATAAAAGTGCTCGGCGTGTGGTATAATCTTTTTATTTGTTGTATCTCATTATTATTTAAACCCATTTTTCCTAGTATCTCCCAGAGCACGTCCCTATTAGTCGTATCGAAAGCCTTTTTTACGTCTATAGAGAGGATGGAGAGCTGGGACTGTCTTTCTTTATAAATATCTTGTAATAAATTTATCGTCATAATATTATCATGTATATCTCTTCCTTTTGTACCAGCACTTTGAGTGCTCACTAATTTATTTTGAAAAATTCCCTCAAGTCTCCTCGCTATTATGTAACTAAAAATCTTATAATCTATATTCAATAAAGTTATAGGGCGATACTCCCCTACCCCCTTATCCACATTGTCCCCTTTACTTAAAAGTACCATTTTTCCATAGCTAAAATCATTGCCAAAAGGAGCATTAAAAAGATCACAAAAGTAATCTGTGTAAATCTCACTAAAAAATTTATAAAATTCCGACGAAATTTCATCCTGTCCAGGAGCTTTACGGCCATGGAGCCCCTGGATCGCATCTCTTATTTCTTCTTTTGTTATTTTACTATTTATTATATTATCATTTTTATCCTTTACAGGTTCTACATCTGAAATTATCCTTTCTAATAACTTTATATCACCTCCAGGATCATCAAACAGGTGTGTATAATACTTGGCAAATTCTTCTATTATCTCATCATTTTCATTAATTATTTCTCCATTATCTGTTATTATTCTATTTATTTCTAATTTTTCTCTATGTTTTTTACCTTTTTCAAAAATTAATTTCTCCACGTCTCTTTTTATATTATATTTTCTCATTTTATAATTTGTATAGTTTTCTTTATTTCTATTATTTATTTCCTTACTTATTTCATATTCTAATTTCTCTATTTCATTAATATTATTTTCTATTATTTGCTTTGACAATTCCCGTTGTAAAAATTTTAATTTATTAAATTTTTGCTTTTTTAATTTATACCAAGTAACTTTAATTTGTTCATTTATTTCCTGTTTTATTTGTCTCCAACTATCCCAATCTGTATTATTTTTATTATTTTCCATTATTTCAATTATTTGTGACTGGAAGAAATTATCTTCTAAAATTTCCTTTGTAATTTTTATATTTCTCCTCCTTTCAATTCCATTTTCTATTTTTAATTCTAATTCTACTAGTTTGTGATCTGTTAGTTGTCTATAATCATTTCTCAAAGTCATCATGTTAATACTATTTATGTTATTTAAATTTTCAGATATATATATCCTATCCAGGCGCTCCATGACCGATTGGCCGGACCAAGTATATCCAGGACAATGTGGATATTTAAAACGGTAACTGTCAATAAGACTAAAATCATCAATAAATCTCTGTAAAATTTTCCGCGAACCATCCGAATGTAAAACTCTATTTTTATCCAAAACATGTACAACACTATTAAAATCTCCGGCAATAATAAAATATTTTACCCCAATCATATATTTGTATAAACTATTAAAAACATCTTTTCGCTCAGAGACCTGAGGGGGCGCATATAGATTAACTACTCTTATCAATTTGTTACTCACCTGGAGATCCACAGTTAAAATCCTACCACCGCTGTCCGTCTTAAAATCATATACATGTATCTTTTTCTTTATCATTGTAACAACTCCGGTGCTCCTGCGACCTGCAAATGAAGCATAAATGTTATATCCAGTAAAAATTTTTCTTAAATTTCGTATATCATATAAGTCTCTTACATTGGTGTCCTGTATCATCAATATATCTATTTTATTTACCATTATATAATTCAACAAAAATATCTGTTTTTCTATATCTCGTAGTCCAGTAATGTTAACAGTATCTATTTTAAGGTGTCTGGCCATGTTTAGTTTTGCTTGTGTTGCCCATCTTTTTCTTTTTCTGTTCCATTTCTCCACCCACTCTTACTCTCTTACCTCCTATCTTTTCTTTTCCTTCACTTTTTTGTATTATAGTTCTAGACTCTCTTTCGATACTATTATCCCTTGACCTGCTATCATATTCTCTAACCTTTTCCTTTACACTAATACTTCCCATTTCTTTTTCTTTTTCTACTTCCATAATATCTCCCTCATTTTCTATCAATTCACTTTCTTTTTTCTCTTTTTCTTCATTCCTTCTTCTTTCTAGACTTTTAGCCCGCCTTCTTTCCGCACTCTTACTCCTCGGTCCTCTTTTAATAATTTCTGCATACGTTTGTATTGGGCAGTCTTCATTTAAATTATGTTCTCTTTTACAATTATAACAAGCCCTACAGTCCTTTATTAAATGATAAATACTATTACATCTGTAACATTTCTTTATAGGACATTCCGCTATTAAATGATCCGGGCTTCCGCATCGTCTACATTCTGGTTTCATTCCAGCATAGAAAATCTGGATCTGTCTTCCCCAAATTTCCAGAAAATTTGGAATTTTTTGTCTAGTAACAATAGTAATTCGATAAGTACCCGTTTTTACCTTATATTTCGAACCGATAGTATTTGCTTGAAGATTAATCACTTTTCCATAATTTCCAAACACCTGTCGTATAAGTGTCTCATCAACTTCGTGTGGAACGTATTTTACTGTTAAAGTAAGTATATCTCTTTCTAAACTTTCTATCATATAATCATTTTCATTTAAAGTTATCACTTGTCCAATTAATCTTTCTTTGACTTCCACTGAACTAACTCCTATTTCTACCACCTTATTTGGATAAAAACACACTTGTTCTACACTTCCTCTATCTCCAATTTTCTTCATTATTTCGTCTATTAATTCGTCTATCACTATTCTTTCCTTAATTACAACTCGAACTGACTTAATTTTACTTAAAGTACTTATCTTTTCTTTCTCAACTTCCAATTCCTTCGTTTTCCGTTCAGCCGGCGCCATAGCTAAACTTCCACTTCCGGGAATTATTTCCACTTCCTCTTCATCAGTGAAGACTTCATCGTTATCCGGAGTATCCAAAAATTCTGCCAGTCCAAGTCCAAGTCGAGCCATCGTCTCAGGTGTCACCGTCCCAATTGTGGCCGGGGAGATTGCTGCTTGACTTTGTGGCAAATCATCCATCTCCTTCTCCTTCACCAGCTATCTGCTGGCTTGGTAAGTGAAAGTCAAAAACAAAAGATAACTCACCAATTAAAGTCCAAACACTAAGTCCACTTTTTCTTTTTCCACAGTCCAAATTTCGCACTAGGATTAGGTAGAGGTCAACAACTATCGAATCTTTGGTCTTAGCCATAAGGCCGAGAAGCGATAAAAAACACATCAAAGGTGCCGACGGGCCAAGTCTGGAAACGTACAATACACGTGTGGTGTGTCCAGGTGACGTCGATCGGCAAATATCCGTTAATACACACGAAAGAACGTCAGGAAACGATAGCAAGCGATGCTAAAGGCTACAGGAAATGTCAGGTATTGCATGGGTGTTGCCTGACAACGGCATAAAACTCCTGTTGGTCACCAATCATCACAGGAGGAAATTATGCCGCAGCCCGTACCAGCGTTGCGTCGGTCGAATACTGATAGCATTTCGATGCTAAATATTTTTTCGCTAGCAAAATACATTAGAAATTTCTGTATGTAACGTAGAATATTTGCCGATTCGATATTACAATATATTCCATGCAATAATTTTGAAACAATTCGCTTTTATCCGTTATTTTAGAAAAATGTCGCGCTACTTCATTTCTTCAATGTAAAGAGTGAGGCTTACCTTTCCTGGGGTGCCTGGGTCTTCTACGTGCAGGCCGTGCGTGTTGTCCACAGTAGTCACACTCTGAAAAAATTGCACATTTCATTTTTCTTCAATAACTTCGAATCGCCGATTAGCGATAACGACCAAAAGCACGGGAACGTCTTTCTCGCATCGCTCAGATTCATCGTAGCGTACCGGAAGTATGCGGCGATGGCGGTTTATCGCCATCCGCATTTTCTCTTACCTTTTCTTCTGCAATTCGCCACATTTCTTTTTCCTGCTAATCCTCGCTTGGAGAATGTCTTGCAATTACTGTAATCGCTCCTCTGGCATCTTCCGTGAATGACAACCAACTGGAAAAAGAAAAAAAATTTTTTTCTTCAATAATTAATTTCTCTATCTTTTATTATTTATTTCCCCCCAAAGGGGGGTGGGCTATCTCTGGCAATAAGTGCCAGGCCAGAGCAACCCGCGGCGGGGAGGGAGCAAGCCCCCTTTCCCGCCCCGTTCCAAAAATCAGGTTAATATCGAAGGTCTCCGATGGAAACCGTATCAGATATCAAGCTGATAAGAACAGATTTAAAAGCCATTTATTGAATATTAATAAAAATATGTACAATGATTTACCAGTTGGTAAAGAGAATAGAAAACATGGGCACAAGGCCTGCCAGTTGAGAGACATAGGGATGTAAAGATAACATAGAAATGGTTTGTGGGAGGCAATGCCTCGAGTGCGTTCCAAGGGCTCTTAGCCTGACAAGCTGACAGCTGATGGCTGACAGATACAATAGGAGTATATCGCGATTTACAAGGGCTCAGTGCCTGCCTAGAAATGTACAATAGTGGTGGTTAGTTTCGCTGATGATTACTAAGATGGTTGGCGTAGATATCCCTGCTGAAGCGAATACAGTCACTGACCATGAGTTTTTTCATCAGCTTCGCGTAGTTCCTGTTCACTCCCAGGCGCTGGAGAATGCCCTCGTTAGCAGCATCATATCCGCCAAGGGCGCCAACGACGAAGGCGTCAATAAAGGTATCGTAGCCCTGGCTGCGGAAGTGATTTGCGAGGTCGGTGTATTTGTTTATTTTTTCAGTCCTGGCACGATGGAAAGCGTCGGCCCCATTTTCAAATGGGGTAGCGACATCCACTATGGTGGCCGTCTTCGGGTTGCTGTTGAGGACTACGAGGTCAGGGCGACAGGAACTTGGGAAGTCCGGAATTTGCTGGTTACTGTACACTGTTAAGTTCCTATGGTTGAACGAGTTGTTGAGACGCTCAAGTATGGCATTGTGCCGCATAGTGATCATCCTAAAGTTTGGGGGGCAGTGGTTGATAACGTGTGCTAACGTTTCCCGCTGCCGGCGACACTTTCTGCAGGTTTGAGATGCATTGCCGAATCTACGGAGTCCACGCAAGGGTACCACGCTGAGCCGGGCGCGATGAATAAAACGCCAATCGGCGAAGCGGGTAAAGTTGCCCTCGCGCAGGAAGTGGTTGCTGTGGTGGTTGGTTGCAATAATCTTATAGGCCTTTCCCTGATCTGGCTTGTTGAGGAGGGAGCCGAGGAAGGATTCCCTTACGGCTGCAGAGATGGATTTTGCTGCCGTGTTTTTGTTGATTGGCCTGCCGTTGATGATGGGGATCAGGGTGCCGTCGTTGTTGGGAGTCCAGTTGATGTCGATCCTTTTCTTGAGTCGCCGAGTAGCCATGCGGAGCCGGGTCCAGACGGATGGTATGTCATACGGATCGCATCCGAATTCGTTGGCCATTGAGCCGGCCAGGTAGGTGCAGAGGTCGGCATCAGTGGGCAGACGCTTGATCCGTTTCTCCACGACTAGTCTTAGGGTTTTGAAGGCCAAGGCGGATACAGTAGTGTCCCTAGAAAGGAGAAGGTGGACCGCGTGGCTTACCTGGGCTACATCGGCGAGTAGATTGCAGGGTGTGATGTTAGCGCCACCCTGGCCGTGGGGCATGTATATTAGCTCCGGACTGGCTCGTTGGGGAAGATACATCCATCGTTTGACGCTTCTTTTGATGTGCTTGTCGAGAATGGAGAGCTTCCGCTTTTGTACGTTACCTACCGTAAGGTGGAACGTCAGTCTTGAAGTGAGAAAAGTTGAGACACAGTCGATCTTTTGCCAGGGGGCGAGGCGGGAGTTGTCTATGCGCTTTAAGTCCGAGATGATGTCGTCGATTATTGCTTCGGCGGATTTACCTAGAGAAAAACCTGTAGGGACACCAAGATGTTGATAATAATCATTCTTACCCAGTTGTGGGATACTGGACTCCTGGATGGTAAAGCTCGGGTTAGTGGCGCAACGGTACTTGCTTGCCACTGAGAGGGTGGCACACTTCGATGGGTTGAAAGCAAGTCCGCTGCACTGGGCCCAGGTAGAAAGAAGATCCAGTTGTGCCTGAAGTCCGGTGGTAGAGTTGCTAACTATGGTGACATCATCAGCATATGCCAATATGGAGATGGCTTGGTCGTGGAGTTGGTACCCATGCTGTAGATTATTGATGAGGCGTAGGGCGGGCTCGATTACCAGGTTGAAAAGGATCGGGCTTAGAGGGCAGCCCTGTTTAACGCCTGCGCAGATGGGGATGGGATTCGTGTATCCGGAGCTGGTGCGTATGGAGGTATGGCAGCCTTTAAGGAGGCTTTCGATGCAGTCTATGGACGAGGGGTCGAGGCCACACCACCTGAGACATGTAAGGATGGTGTTGTGTGGGACTGACCCAAAGGCGTTGGCCAAGTCCAACCATGCAACGTGGCACTCCCTGTTCCTGCGGCGGGCGTCCTGGATTGTGGATTGCAGCACGAAGGAGTGTTCGGAACATCCCTCGAACCGCATAAAACCTTTTTGTGCAGAGGAGATGATGTTGTTTTCCTCGCACCACAGGAGCAGCCGATTGGCCACACAGGCCGAGTATATCTTCCCCAGGGTATTGGCGAGTGCTATTGGCCTCCAGTTGTTGGTGCAGCTCTGGTCGCCCTTTTTGTGGAGGAGAATGGTTGTTGAAGTTCTCCATGATTCGGGGATATGTCCAGTTCTTCGGATGGCATTGAAGAGGGCTGCTAGGATGTGCCCTTGTGGATCCAGGCGGCGCCAGATATAGTAGCGGATATGGTCAGGGCCAGGGGCCGTGTTGTGGCATCTGGCTAACCGTTTTGCTACTTCTGACGGGGTGAAGGCTGCACTGAGCGGATCGCTCGTTGTTGGTTGCGGAGGTGGTGGGAGCAGGTTGACGAGTGGCTCTTGTGGTACTTGCCGTAGGCCATATACGCTGGTGAAATGTTCCTCAAGAGTTGTTTTGTCGATATTGCAGTATCGCCCAGGGCCCCGTGTGATTTCATCAAAAGCTTTGCTCCTGTTGGCCCGATACAGACGCTGAATTCTGCTGGCGGCTGCGGCATTGGCGTCACTCCGATGGTTGTAGTGCTGGTTACGCTGGGGTCTGTTGTGGCGAGGACGCTGGTGTCTGGTGGGCTGGGGGATCATGCTTTTGGCGAGGTTTGACAAGTCGTTAACCATAGCCTCGAGCATGTCCTCATCCAGGGCGCAGTCGAAGCGGTTACGCCAGGCGATCACCCAAGCGGGAGGTTCAGCGTTGGTGTCGGTGGTGTCGGGCTCAGGAGGTGGCTCCTCGGGGATGGAGACAGCTGGCGGAGGAAGCGGGTGGATGTCCTCAACGGTGGCGGCAGGTTCATCTGGAGGAGGCTCAAGTGTAGAGGGGCCAGTAGTGGTGGGGCTGGCGGTGCTGCTGTTGGATGTGCGGCGTCGGCGTTGGCGAGTTCGTCTACGGGGTCGACGTACTAGAGGTGGAGATGATGGAGATGCAGCAGGCTCAGGTGGCTGGTTCGGGTCGTCATTGTTTCTCGGCGGTGTGCAGGTCATGTTGGCTGGACTCACAGAGGCAGGTGGAACTTGCACTGGGTCGACAGCTGGGGGAGATTCAGGAGATAGGTGATGGCTAGCACTTACCTCGTTGTTGGTGGCAGACTGGGAGGCGAGGTATGCTTCGTCCAAGCCGTAGTCTTTTGACCGGTTGCGTCGTCTTGCACCTGTGGGAATTCTGCCCCGCGGCTTGGGGTCTCTGCAGGTGTGATTGGGCGACATCGGAGGAAGTGCTCCTGCACAATTGGTAGATCGTGCTTGATGAAGTTTTATTTCTTTCAGTTTTTCTGATTGCACGTGACAGGCCCTGCATTCAAAGTTCAGGTGGCCCCCATGGACCCGGCGCAGGTGCCTAGATAATCCACCATGGTCTACATAGTCGCGGTAGACCGGAAGGCACGCCGGGCAATGATAAGGGGGGCGGAGAGGCACTAGGAGTGTGACGTTAGCAAGATCGCTGCGAGTGGCCATAGATCACAAATGTGTAGTATGGGTGGGAAGAAGGGGGTGAAAAGGCCTCCTGGGGCGCTGGGGCAGCCAACCAAGAAGAGGCAGGAAGAGGTAAAGACTGGTGCAGGAACGAGTTCCCGTACCAGGGTAAAGTGGATAGTGCGCTATAGGGCCTGGGGTCCTGTGGCGCAGAAAGGAAAGTGTTGCCGGTTAAGCAGCGAATACACGGTGCGTTTAAACCGTGCAGGCCGCTCTTCCGGCGGAAGAGAGAAGAGTGGAGAACAGAGAGATACCAAAAAATACTTACCCAGAGGTCTGGGGAGCAGGAGTGGGCTCGAAGTCCAGGTTGGGCATCAGTTAGGCGAAGATACCATCAAGCTGATAAGAACAGATACTCATTTATTAAAAGTTAGGGTAGGGTTTTCCTCTTACAATTGTCGCTTTCTCTACAACCTTTTTACACCTTCGAGGTTACCCTTTACAAAAAATTTCCGACAAAAATGAGTATTTTACAATAATATTACAAAATATAAACCAATCATAAAAAACAATCACATTACAATTTAAATAAAGTTTCACAAAACTCAGAATTCACAATAACATTTTAAAAAATTTCAAATAAACAATAAACCAAACACTACTCCAACATCTGAACATTTTTTAAAATATAACCAATATAAATCAAACAACATTTACATACTGCATAAACCACAAAACAGGTAAGTATCAATATATACCCTTACGAAAAATTCACCAACTTTATTTTCCTTAGGTATACTACTAAACCTGTTCACAACACCAAAATATAAAATTTTAAAACAATAAAAAATAACTATAAATTGCAAACAATTAAATCATTCAATCAAACATATTATAATTCACAATTGCAAATTCAACACAATATTCAATCACCCAGGTAACTTCACTTGTTATCATAGGTGTTACATATACGACTTAAATTACCAAACAAAAAGTTGGGCCTAACACCACAACACTAAAATTCACCATATAAATCACCATGGCCAAGAATTTACATTTATATAATTTACATAAATTAACATCAAAACAAAAGTCAAGATGTAGTATCGCCTCATCTTATTCATCACAAAACTTGTATTCGTTATTTTCATATTTCCACACTATGTGTTCTAAATCACCATAATATTTTCTTTTTTCTACAGTATTAAGTTTCTCCATATCATTCGTTATTTTTATTTTAGCAATGTCTCTGACACGCATCACAATCGCCGTCGCATTGACCCTTCTCCTATCGAAAGTGACTTCACATCTGGCCTTCCAAACCTCTCTTTTAACCAGACCTATCATCCAGTTAATCAAATAAGTATTATACCGTGTTCTATAATTAATATGATATTTCACATTCTCCCAATTCAGTTTAATTTTACATGTCTTGTTAACCCAATTCCACACTGAGGTTACCGTGGGACACTCCCAAAATAAATGCAAATTTGATTCTTTATCACCACATCTTGGACAGTTTTCATCCCTTCCTCCATGGTAAATTCTCAAATATTCTTTGTTCATAATAATATTCTGTAAAAGCCTCCATGATATTTCACGCCACTCGGCTGGAAGCACACTTACATTTAACCATATTTTCTTCCAGTCATAAATTGATGCCCTCATTCTGTCATTCTCGAACTGTTCGAAAAGTATACCATATATACTCCCTGGTCTCATTTTCACGTTACTCTCGATCCACTGTGGTTTTTCATTTAACACTCTATCAATGTCTCTTCTCCATTTTTTATATCTTTTATTTACGTTGACTATAAATGGAAAGGTTCCCTCTATCCGGGTAATCTTCTTAGCAATCGACCCCAACACATATTGCGCCACATACCATACCGGATGGTCTTTAGTTTGTAAACTATTCATCATGACTGACATTTTTAGAGCATCTCCCAGGGTACTCAAGTCCCAAATCCTCCATCCTCCATTTAATTCATTATTGCGCAGAATCTTTCTACTTAGTGGTTGGAAACTATTGTTCCATAAAAAATTATATATCTCTTTTTCAACCTTTTTTATCATGTCTACATCCAAATTCACCACATATAACATGTACATTAGTCTTGCTATAATAATTTTGTTTATAATGATTGCTCTTTCTGCCATATACCACCAATGTGTATTCCACTCTTTTATTGTTTCCCTAGTCTTTTGCAACATTATTTCTAAATTTTTCTCTCTTTTATTTCTACCATACCAAACTCCAAAGACAGACAAATCCTCAACTCTTTCAATCTCGACATCTATACTATGTATGTCACCACATACATCATAGAGTTTACTTTTTTTCTTATTTAATTTCATCCCAGTCCACTGGCAAAACATTTCTATAGATTTATACACTCTATTCAAGGACACCTTATCTGTGATTAGAAAATTGATATCATCTGCATGGCCAATTGATTTAACTTTCTCTTCCATACCAGGCACATGCACCGGTGCTATTATATTATCCTTATTAACCTTTTGTAATAAAACATTTATATACACTGTAAATAACACCATTGAGGATGGGCATCCTTGGCGAACGCCAACTTTACATTTTATTCCATTAGATAATCCATCATTTAAATAAATATATGTTTCTGGGGCCTGGTATAGTTTCTTAATCATTAACACTTCATCCTCACTCATTCCGTACCACAACAATATCTGCCACAACACTTCCCGGCTCACTGAGTCAAATGCCCTCTCAATGTCTATAGATAACACAGCTAACTGACTCTTCCTTTGTTTGTAAATTTCTTCCAAAAGGGACAGAAAAACCATATTATTTTGAATACTTCTACCCGGTACACCGGCACTCTGGGTCTTTACAATTTCTCCACCAAGTATTTCTGTTACTCTATCCGAAATAATCTTACTATATATCTTATAATCAGAGTTTAATAATGTTATTGGTCTATAGTCCTTTACGGTAGTATTTCCTTCAGATTTTTTCTCAATCAGTACCATCTTACCAACACTGAAACTGTCATTAAAATTCTTTTTGTTGTATAACACATACAAGTTCTCGATTATGAGATCCATAAAATAAATGTAAAATTCATTACTTAAATTGTCCATCCCGGCTGCTTTTCTTAGCCGTAACCCTTGAATTGTTTTCTTAATTTCACTTTTAGTTGTTTCTCTATTTAAGTTAATTTCATTACCATTCCTTATGGGTTTAATCACATTTTGAAACACCTGTCCTATCTGATCATCTATTTCTTTTAAATCAAATAAATTTGTATAAAAGTCAAAAAATTCTTTTCTTATTTCATCTCTTTCTATAATTACTTCATTCTCCTTTTTAATCTGATTAATATGTGTCTTTTTACTAATTTTCTGTTTTTTCTCAAATACACCTTTTTCACTATCTCTTGCCATCCTATATCTATTCATTCTATATCTCACATAATTCTCAGCTCTTCTTTTTTCCAATTCTTTAACTATTGTATCTTCCATTCTTTTTATCTCTTCCTCACCTTTATTTTCTAAAATTGCTTTAGTTAATTCTTTCTGTAAACTTTTTATTCTATCAAAATAGTTTTTTCTAATTTTTAGCCAAGTCTTCTTCACTAAATCATAACTTTCTTTTTTAATCTTATTCCAAGATTCCCAGGATCTATTATTTATATCAGTGTTTAATATACGCCTTATTTCTGATTGAAAATAAATATCATTCAGTATTTTCTGATTAATTTTAATATTTCCATTATATCTGTTGGTTTCTTTTAATTTTACTTTTAAATTAACCATACTATGATCAGATATATCCATACCGTTAATCATTTTTATCTTATAATGCATTATATTCACAATCTCTATATCTTTAATATTTAAATAAACTCTATCTAAACGTTCGGCCACATCTCTCCCTTTCCACGTATACTCACGCCGAGATGGATTCATTATTCTATACGCATCATATAAATCAAAGTCTTCAATTAACTTATTCAAAATTTTTCGAGATCCATCATAACCAAAACTTGTATTTTTATCCAAGACTGTCAAGACACAATTAAAATCTCCAAAGAAAATCACTTCTCTGCCAGTTATTAGAAAATCTCTTACCTTATAAAATATCTTTTTTCGTTCGGTAACACTCGGTGGAGCATATATATTTAATATTCTTATTAATCGACCGCCAACATTAATATCAATAGACAGAAATCTTCCAAAGCCATCCGTATTATATGTATGCACTTTGATATCATTCTTTATTAAAGTTACGACCCCTGTACCTCTCCTAGGGGCGAACGAGGCATAGATATAGTAACCACGAAATTTTTGTCTCAATCTCTTAACATCATCCATATTTTTGATGTTGGTATCTTGTAACCCCAATATATCCACATTTTCCGTTTTCAAAATGTTCCATATACAGTTTTGTTTTTCCTTTCCTCTAAAACCGGAAATATTGCACACACGTATATTAAGTGACTTATCCATCTTCACTCTTATTTATTTTTTCTCCATATCTTCTCTTTACTTTCTCTGTCATAATTCTTTTTCTGATTCTTTTTTGTCCCACCACTCTAAAATCATCTTCACCACTATCTGCTGTTTCCGTTAGTGTTTCTTCCATACTTTCTATTTCCATATTTAATGTCTGTGTACTCCTTTCTAGTTCACTATCTCTTTGTTCTATCCTTGCCACACATTCCTTCACTTTAACTGGACTATATTCTTTCTCTTTTTCATTCTCACCATTTATCTCGCTTTGATTTTTCTCCATCACTCTTTCCTCACTTTTACCTCTCTCAACCATTTTATCAATACTTTTACTCATTGTACGCTTTCGTACTCCTAAACCAGTTTGTGCTGCTTCTGCATATGACAGTGGCGGACATTGATTTCCCTTGTGCTCCTTTCTACAAAACTTACAGGCTTTGCAATCTTTTATGAGATGCATCCTTGATTTACATCTATGACACAACTTATATACACAGTCACTCGCTTTATGTCCCTCCTCTCCACATTTTCTACATTCTAAATTCATTCCC